TATGGGGCCAATTTAGTGTGAATGCTTTTTTCTTTTATTCGTTTAAATGTAGGCATCACGATCAACGCCTTGTGCAATTTTATCTCCCTATGTCTGTTTTCAAAGCCTCAGACATAAGCAGTAATTAATATGATTGTACATAGAAATCAAAATTTCTTCGTGTCTAGCTTATAGTATCCTGGACCTTTGTTAATTAAAGCACAATGTCACAAAAAATCCCCCATTTTCAGCCTCACGATAAATTTGTTGCTAAAATTTGAGTTGCAAGTACGCATCAATGTGATGAATTTCTCTTTACTGTATACTTCCTCGGCCCTTAACAATGATCTAATATGGATGTCCCAAAAAACTGTCACTTTTGATTCAAAAAATTTGTGACTCATATAGTTTTTTTTAAAATGAAAATACTGGCATCTTTTTGTTTTGTTAAATTATGTGTTAGCCAAAGGTACCCTTGAAAGGATGAAAGCTATTATATTTGTATTATAAGATTGACTTTTTTACTTTTAACAAATTCATACTCATAGAGGAACATCCTTCACTGCTCTGGTGAAGTCTGTCAGACTCGCATGCATTAGATTATCCCAATCTTCTATTCTACTCAGGGATGGCCTCGGGCCGGTTCGGGCCTGGGCCAGGCCGGGCCTCGGGTCTGTTTTGTTGGCCCGAGCCCGAACCGGTGGCCACCGGTTCTGGGTCCGGTTCCGGGTCCGGTTCCGGGCCGGGCCGGGCCACCCCGGTTAGTTTTTTTTTTTTTTTTCCTTTTCTCCCCCGCCCCCAAACCCCCCAAACCGGTCCTAAACATCAAGCCCAACTCAATAAAGCCCAAAAAATGAAAAAAAAAAAACAGTTTTTGGCCTGGACCCGGGCCCGACCCGGCCGGGCCGGGCCGGTTCGCCAAAAACTATAACTGAGCCCGGAACCGCCCAAGCCCCCGAGCCTAGGCCCGAACCGGACCCGGACCCGGAAAACCGGGCCGGGCCAGGCCCGCACAGTAGCGGGCCGGGCCGGTTCCCGGGCCGGGCGGCCCGAACCGAGGCCATCCCTAATTCTACTATTCTAGTGAGTCTACTTTTTAGAGAGATTTGATCATGAATGATGTTAATATCAAGTTGAAATGCTTAAGCGAACCTATATTTCCATTGGACTACTCAGTACCATTAGTTCCATTTTTCACTTTTGATTCTACGTTTATAGTTTTTTGTTAGTTGTTATTTTTAATCGGGGCACAACTATTCTTTCAAAAAGAAAATCGGGGCACAACTATGGACTCCTTGCAGAATGCTAGAAATACTTAAAATATACGTAGTATTTAATCTTAAATTTACTCTTATTTACTATGAAAAATTTACCAATCCAACTACATGTTTATTTTTACCCCATCTTCTTCTTAACCTTACTTGTTAAGGAGCTCAATGGATATTTTGCTCCTGCAACATACTTCTACAATGTTTATAATCCTATATACATATATGTAGAATCCCCTCCAATGCAATTTTCACACCAGTGTATGCATTAAACTCATTGCTAACTTACAATATCATTCTCTATCTTATTAATATGCTTCACTTTTTCTCACTCACCTTTTATTTTCTTTCCTATCACACCTAGGTATCAGCCATTACCTCTTTCATCACGCTTGTATGTATCTTTTTCTTTTATTATTTCCTTTTGTATAATTTTCTTTCTTTATATCTTACTTTATATCTTACTAGACGAAGTACCCGTGCGATGCACGGGATACGAATATCTAGAGTAGAATAACAATTTGTTTTTGATTATCTTTTATTACGATAATATATACATATATAATCTGTAATTTTGTTTGTAGTAAAAGGAAAATGTAGATCATACGGGAATACATTTTATTAAATAGGAAAATAAAGTTATTGCAAATGTATATCTATTACTCAGATGATATCTATTACCAATTTTATGTGACCTACAGTTTGTAGTACATTCCTATGTATATCTATTATATACATAGTACATTTTATTACCGTACAAATGTATATCTATTACTCAGTTGATACTGCCGCATAAATTGGTCACTTGGAGTAAAAAGTTATTGCAAATTTACTAATTTATATTATTACATAAATTTAAAAATAGAAAATGACAAAAAAATAAATTTATTAAACTATCAGGAGTAAATTGGTCATATGTTTTCTTTTGGACTGAAATTTGCTGGTCTGGTCTGTTTAAGTCTGGTCTGGTCTGGTCTGTTTAAGTCTGGTCTGGTCTGAACTGGTCTGGTCTGGTCTGGTAAACGTCTGGTCTCTGTGTATTTTATAACTACGGAAGTCTGGTCTGGTCTGGTCTGGTCTGGTCTGGTCTGTTTAAGTCTGGTCTGGTCTGATCTGGTTTGTTTAAATCTGGTCTGGTCTGGTCTGGGACTGAAAACAGTCCAAAAGAAAACATATGACAGTGCTCTGTTTATGGCTGATATCTTTCTTACATGTTCAGATAATTTATACTGACTCAAAATTCTATTTATGTCGTAGCTTTATACTGGCTCAAAGCTAATTATCAAAAGCAATTTTATTTATGTTAAGATAATAAAATAGTATCCTTAAATTAATTAATACTCCGTAAATATCAATTACATGTGACATTTGAAAGCCAATTAATAAGCATTTAGAGCATCTCCAATGCTAAAACGTTAACGGTGCACACGTGACATGGAAAATAACTAATTAAAGAACAATAAATACAATATCTCTCTCCTTACTTGAAGGATCTTACATCAGTTGGGTAAGTTTTTCTTCACAATGTCAATCACAATGTCTACATCTAGACATTGTGCTTGACATTGTAGGCAAAAACTTACCATAAACACATAAGACCGTGGAAAGAATGAGAGAGATATTGTATTTATTGTTTTTTAATTGATTATTTCACATGTCACGTATGCATCATTAACGTTTTAGCATTGGAGATACTCTTAAGTGGGCAATTTACTTTATATTTAACATCACTTTAATTTAGCAAATACTATGAACTGAAAGTTTGTAATCACTTTGCTATGTCAGAGAATAATTAATTTGTTACAAATTAAAATGTGAACTTTATTGCCTTATGTCATTGGGATTATATATATTGTATTTTCATTGAATGATATTATTACTGTTATTATCATTTCAATATAAAATTGTAGATTCCGTTTTACAAATATTGGTTACAAATATTGGAGTAAAAAGTTATTGCAAATTTACTAATTTATATTATTACATAAATTTAAAAATAAAAAATGACAAAAAATAAATTTATTAAACTATCAGGAGAAAGCATCATTACTTTGGAGTATTAATTAAAAATTAAATTTAATACCTCAGATTACTATTTATTTTATTTATTTCATGATTAACTCTTTTGAAGATTATATTACCATTAGTTACTTTCTTTTATTGTCACATACATTTGGGTTGAATTTAAGTGAATAGCAGTGAGAAATTATATGACAGTGCTCTATTTATGGCTGGTATCTTTCTTACATGTTAAGATAATTTATACTGACTCAAAATTCTATTTATGTCGTAGCTTTATACTGGCTCAAAGCTAATTATCAAAAGCAATTTTATTTATGTTAAGATAATAAAATAGTCTCCTTAAATTAATTAATACTCCGTAAATGCCAATTACATGTGACATTTGAAAGCCAATTAATAAGCATTTAAGTGGGCAATTAAAGTTTACTGCATATATACAACATTTTAGTTACGTATAGGAGAGTATATTTTGGGAGGCACTCAAATTTCCAATTATGCCCCTTGTTTGGACAGCAATTTTGCCTCCAAAAGTTGTGGCATGACTGTTACTTTATATTATATAAAGATGTCAAAACAAATCAGAATCTTTTGTTCAAGTTATATAATCAATCCTATACACATAAACAAAGAATATCCTACAATACCATTTTCCTTCTAATATATGCATTAAATTCATTAATAAGTTACATTATCATTACCTATCATATTGATAAATTTCACCTTTTCTCACTGTTTTTTTAATTCTCCTCCCTTACCTAGCACACCTAAGTAACAAAAATGAATCTATTTCACGCTTGTACATAAATTTTCTTTCATTATTGAATTTTGAATAATTTTCTTCCTTCATCTCTTATGTCAAGAAAATAAGAATCTTCTATTCATGTTATAAAATCAATAGCTCAAGATTATAGTTTTCTGGAAATGCAACTGCAAAAGATATTAGCAATGTAAATTTTGAGATTCACACCTATTTTTATTTTACATATCATTTTCTGAAATATAGTGTCACTTCAAAACTTCTCATTTCCTTGAAATTTAAAGATCAACACATTAGAAATTGTAATTCGTGTATGATGCATCTAAGTAATTATTCATTTTCATGTTACATTGCTTTCTACAATTTTATATAGTAATATTTACCGATATATGCCCTAATGTATAATCATTGCTATACGTCTAACATCCTATAATATGATGAAGAAAGTAAATCCCGTGCAATGCACAATCACAAGGCTAGTATGCCTAGTTATCATTTTTATAATTACCCGTTTAAAAGTAACGTTTAATGATTGTTAGATCATCGATCGTTTGGGAGTCGTGGATGGAAGTATTTTGTATTCTAGGGTCGGTTGTTTCTTCAAATCTTTCGCATGTTCAGCAAGAAATGTTGATCTCTTTAGGGTGGACTTTTTTACGCGTGGTCAGAGAGTAGGGGACCTTTTGGTTATGTGGGAGTTAAGTGGAGAGATGTGTGTTATGGTAAGGTCTTGGCATTTTGGATCATTATTAATAAAAGTTAAGTGTTCTCCTTTCAAAAAAATAATATTAAAATTGAATTAATTATCGATAGGAGGACTCAACTTTATTATTGGTTGACCAAAAATATTGATTTTGCAAAACAATTTGGGATGAAAGTAGTACATTTATTGAGAAAATAAGCCTAAACTAATATATACAACACAAAGATAGTATGAATTTGATCACAATAAAATACTCTAACAAGTAGATATCTCACAATTATATTGTGTTGATATTCCCATAGCGAATATGCATATGCAGAAGAAGAGGAGAGAGTTGGAGAATCCTAGTTGTGAATAAACTTAAACACAAGTTCTGTCTATCATTAAATCAATTAAAAGTTTAGGAACATATAACCTCTATTAATGATATATAATCCCAATCATATGATCAAGTATTATAATATCAATTGTTTACTAAATATATTCTAATATTCTCCCACTTGGTTATGTGATCCTTGATGGATTGATGATAAATTGCGCAGTATTCATCAAAGCAACAAAACTACAAAACTAGCAGCAACAAATGTTCAGAAGTCTTTTATTTTCAAAGATTCCAAGCAAAGAAACTCAAAGGTCAATGAAGCCCTCATTCTCATTGTCATCATCATTCTTGGTATCCACCTAAGAAATCTCACAAGGCCAAACCTAAGAAAGATTCCATTTCTGCTTTCCTCATAGCCATTTCTTCCCTCTCTTCCTCAAGTATTTCTGCAACTTGCTCTTCCATTTGCTCTATAATCTTAGCCCATCTAATTATTGATTTCTCAGAAACAATTCGATTCTTCAGCCTCGAACCAGCACGTTTAGCGATGGTGTTCAGAAGTGAGCGATCTTTATCAATCACAAATGTAACAGCATAACCTTCTCTACCATCTTTAGCTGTATGCCCCACTTGATGTATATAACTCTTGAGATCCTGAGGGCATGCATAATTGATAACAGTTTGAACACCAATAATGTCAAGTCCACGAGCCCCAAGCTTTGTTGTCATCAAATAATCCACCTTATGCTTCCTGAAAAGCTCCAATGCATCCAATCGCTGAACTTCGGTACGGTCTCCGTGTAGCTCAGTAGCTTTGAAACCAGCTAAACAAAATAAAATCTTTAACCTATGGGCAGCCTGTTTTGTTCCACTGAAAACAATCACTTTAGATGTGAATGTTTTGGAGCACAAGGCAAGAAGCATGGCTTCCTGGTTCAATTCCTGCATTCGTCGTATCCTAACCACCTCTTCTGTCAATGGTGAAGGCCGTTTTGCAGATAAATCAGCAGATAGGCGCACAGGGTTATTCAAAGAAAGATTCACAAGCTCATTAACCTTTTCAGTCATGGTACCAGAGAATAACATTGTGTGCCTACTCTTAGGGCAGAGTCGAACCAGTTCCCCAATTTCTTTACTGAATCCAAGTTCCAGAAGGCGGTCTGCCTCATCAAGAATAAGAACATCAAGATCATCCAGATAAATGGACACAGAATTGCGAATATGATCTATCATGCACCCTGGAGTTGCAACAACAATATCAGGGATTGATTGCAAAGCAGAAACTTGGTCCTTTTCTGGAAACCCACCAAGAACCAAACAGCATCTGATATCAGTCATAAATTGTGCAAGATTTTTAACCATACTATGGACATGAGCAGCCAAATCCCGAGTTGGGGTAAGAATAAGTGCTCTAATAGCAGGCCTGTTTTTAGGGCGGTTCAGGATTCTCTCCAGAGTTGGTAATGAAAAGGCAGCTGTCTTCCCAGATCCGGTAATACCGCTAATCCCACATATATCACGCCCAGTTAATGCCAATGGAATGAAAGCAGCCTGAATTGGGGTGGGTTTGGTATAACCCAATGCTTCACAAGCTTGAATCAATGGCCTGGATAGATTCAGATCGATGAACGAGTCGGCATGGAAAGAGACCCCATCAACGTTGTCGTTTTTTCCTTCGCTTTGAACGTCTTCATCGCAAGGAACTTCGAAAACGAAGCGTGGGGAACCCATTAGTTTGAGAAAGAAGTATGTAGCAGTCGCCGGAGGGGATGAGGGTTTAGGGGGCGTCAGTCTGGGTTTTGCAAGTAAGGAGGACTCCCTGGGTATTTAAAAGATGCTAAGTTTTGATTATGACACACAAGATTTAAGGGGTTTAATGCATCGATTTTGGTGCAAACGGGTTAGATATGCTCATTTAGCATGTCGTGGAAAGCCTTTTTCCTCCGCGGAGCTTTAGCCATTGGGCCACATCCATCTATCCTCCCTAAACAGTCACCAGAATTTTTGGTCCAATCCCCCGGGAGTTTGACAGCGGATGGTGAAAGGGGGTTTTCTGGTGGTGATAAGCTTCATCGTCTAAGGGAAGTGCGGGCTGCTTCACCAGATAAGGGAAGTGCCGGCTGCTTCACCAGAATAACTTTTCGTATCCTGATTCACTTGCGCAAATCACAATATTAAATAGGAAATATCCGGGTATTAGACCTCCGTGATTTAAAAATACGTCAAACTCTCTTGTGTTTTTATTAATTATGCGCAAAATTCCTTCTTTGAACAAATTCAAGTGCAAATAAAAGAAAAATGATTAACATTTTTGTATGATTCAGAAATTTTGACATACTTCTACCTACTTGCATACTCAATCAAAATATTAGGAAAAATAATTTTCAAATCATTAAATTTATTCATAAAAGGGGTTCTGTGCATGATTAATTAAAACACAATGAGGTTTGACGCATTTTTCAATTCACAGGGGCTAATACAATGACATTCTATATCACGAGGGGTTTTGGTGCATTAAACCCAAGATTTAAGAAAGAATAGTAAGAGTAATGAATAGTATAGAAAAAGTAGGAGAAAAAGTGAAAAAGTAGGAAAGAGAGGATAAAAAGTAGAAAAAACAAGGGTAATTGAGTATTTTTAAAGGAAAAAACTTACCCAAAAAAGAAAGTGCAGGAAACTTTTAAATACATCCCAAAAAGAAAAGTGTAGGGAAGTTTTAAATACGGAGAGTATATATATTCGAAAAGTTACCTAATAGACTCTAAAAAAATACATAATAGGAACGGTTCGGTGGGGTATCTGTTAGACCAGTCACAATTGTCATTCTTACTTTGATAGATGTTACTATGTATTTTTGGGAAAATGGTCAGATAGACCCTCGAACTTATATAAAAAGGTCAAATAAGCCCTTATAACGGAGGCTCTGTCCGGCCGTCGTCATTTGTGGCGGTTTTCGCTAGAATTTTTTGATGAAATTTTTTGAGCATCTTATTCATTAAGTCTAGTTTACTCATACCAAATTTCAGTTAAAACGTCAGTCGGGAAGACATTCAAATGAATTCTTGAAGATAACTGCGCAATTAAAAAAAAATTGTAGAGGTGGTTGGAAAGAGTGTAGATTTTATATATATAGAATTACATTATTAACTGATAGAAACATTTTTGCAAAAAAAAAAAAAAAACTGATAGAAGCATCACCCTTTGCGGCTTTGCCTATTAATAAAAGAATCATGTCAGTTTAGGTACACTATTTGTAGTTAAAAGAGAGTATGTTGCAACAACTGGTCATCTATTGTTATTACTATATACTACGTATTGTACTACTGTCCCACTAATATTGTGAAATAATCACATAAAACGTGGTGTATTTATTGAGAAATTGATTTTTTTGTGATTGATATTAAATTGGTAAAGTAGAATTTAAGCAAAGAGAATTTAGAATCATATAAATATTATCATATTTGATTAGAGAAATGATGGATGAAAAACAAAAGACGAGGTAAATATAATGAGTAAGAAATGATGCTAGTGATGTACCCTCGATTTTTATAAGTGGCATCTCAATGCACACAAGCTAGTTGAAATTTGATTTGGGTCTATTTTGATACCTGAAATTAAATAATTTTAACTCATTTTTGTAAGATTAACTTTTCTTTTTTAGGTTGGTAAAAAATATGAATACTTTCTCAAATTTAATTTTACTATTTTTAACTTAATCACCTTATCTATATCATTTCACAATTTAAGCTTTATGGACTTGTCTTACTTTTTTTTAAAAGGTTACAATTGTAAAGCAATTGCTATATCTTTTGTTTTCTTAAAACTCACACTAAACTCACATGTATCTTACATTATGGGACCAGGTAGTAGAAATTAGATGATGTTGTTTTCTGACCTTGATTGTCTGCCAATTTTGGTTCCATTTATGTAATTGTTTGGTCCAGTATTTGATAACTTCAGATGATATACAATAGGAAAGTGAAGTAGTGAACGTATTGGAGCAATGTCATGATCTAAGACTCTAAGTCATAAAAGTCATCAAAATAATCATATCCAACACAAAACCAGAATATTGGACAAAATTGAACTACCACCAAACCATCTCTTTGTCATTTTTGAATCTGTGCCAAAAATTAAGGTTGGTTTATGGTTTTAGACAAAATTGAACTATACCACAAGACCGTTCATCGGTTCATGTGATTGTTTCCAGTCCTAGACGAGGACCTTGTACAACACTACAACACTAGACATCAGGTGACATAACTGGTGTGTTCTTGATTAAAATGTAATAAATATATTGTTTGTCATAAACTGATAAAACTGATAATTGGAATCCTTCATTTCAGGCCTTCAGGGTAGCACATATTTTCTTTGTTTAATTTTTAAAACATCATCAAAATTGTTTAGACTCCAAATAGGCTCAACGTTATTCTGTTACAATTAAAAAATTACGTAACAAAAATTGATTGTCACATAATTATGACTTATTTCCATTACAATCTTGATTGGCAAAAACTTAGAGACGAGTAATGACCAAAACTCCGTGTAAGCATACTATTATATTATTTCGGCATAGAAATGATAGAACCCCAAGAAATTGAGTTTTCATTATCCAACCTAGAAATACAAATGCAATCAGCAGGTACAATATAACCCACCGACTTGGTGAATTAAAATATAATACGTACATACACACATATGCATATATAAGTTCCACCTGAAATGAACTCCATACCATTCACCTGTTTACTCGATGAAATATGGGATGAAACTTACCCGCTCGCTGGAATGCACGTAATATTTGTAACTAATAAACACAGTTGCTTTACCAAAATTGTGGTACATCAAAACCTTTATATAATTATATGATCTCTCACAATTCACAGCATTGTCCAAAACAAAATTTCATGAAAGATGGAAGAAAAATTTAGTCTTTTTTGGTACAAGAGAATTATGATCTAAAGAAACAGCTATCGATAGCTAAAATGACTCTTAGGCTGTGCTTTCCTTCTTAAGCTTTGAGAGCTCCTGTCTCACAATTCCAGCCTTCTGCAAATATTAAAAAGTACCAAAAATCGTGAATAAAGTTGGCTTTTCTATTGGATTACAAAACGTTGAGATTCATGGAACATAATACGATAGACAGAAATCCATTTTCTTTATTTGATATGAAAAGATAAATGGACTAGCTCAAAAACAATTTACAGACCTTGATTTTTGCCAGCATGAGCTTAAACCTGTCAAAATCATTCAGAGCTGCTCTCCTCTCCTGCACAATCAACTTCCTTCCCCATGAGCTCTTCTCCCATTTATTCTTGACATCTTGGAGCATATTGAAACAAAAAATTAAATATATTAGATTTTGGATTTATGGGATAAACAGGTTACAGTGGATATTCTCACCAGCAGCTTCAAAGGCGGCAATCAATGTCTTCTTTTTCGGGACCCTTTTTATGTCAATTTTTATATCAGTAAGTGAAAGCCTCTTGAAATTCATCTGGCTTCGAACCATGTCAGGGGCGTCAATGAGGGCCTATTGATTTGGAAAACACGCAAACATATCAGCTTAAACTCTAGAGCATGTGTTTCAAAATGATTGCAATGAGGAAAATTAGCTAGAATCCATAATAGCAAGTTAAAATAATGTTTTGTTAGCAAAATACGAAGAAGTTCATAGCACAGCATAAATTTTACTATGTAGGTGAATGAAGTATCATATGAGAAAAACAATGGCCTCAGATCATATACAAATCTCTGTCATATTAGAATGGTCAGACAATGTAGGCAAATGTATTTTTTCCCATCATAGGCCATAAAGGAATACTTTTGCATTTCAGCTAAACTTGAATAAAAGTAGTACGTAAGTTACTTCAAAATCAATTTTTGGGCATGAAGAGAGAGTTATTAAACGGAATAAAACCATAATAACAAGTTATAATATGTTATCTTTTGTTAACAAATTAGTTTATAACACAATATAAATCCTACTGTTTAGTGAAATATCATATGTAAACAAAGGCCTCAGATCACATAAAAATATCTGTCATATTAGAGTGATCAGACAATGTAGGCAAATGTATTTTTCCCATCATAGGCCATAAAGAAATACTTTTACATTTCAGCTGAAATTGAATAAAAGCAGTACATACAGTTACTTCAAATTAATTTTGGGCATCAAGAGAGAGTTTATAACGGAATAAAACCATAATAACAAGCTATAATAAGTTATCTTTTGTTAACAGATTAGCTTATAACACGATATAAATCCTACTGTTTAATGAAATATCATATGAATGAAAACAAAGTCCACAGATCACATAAAAATATCTGTCATATTAGAGTGATCAGACAATGTAGGCAAATCTGAAATTGAATAAAAGCAGTACATACAGTTATTTCAAAATAAATTTTGGGCATCAAGAGAGACTTATCTAAAGGAGTAAAACTAAATTACCCTATTCTGATCAATAACGTCTACGATGACGACAAGCTTTCCATAGTCCTTGCCGTAGTTGAGGATAGCGACCCTCCCGATCTCCACATACCTCTTGAAAGGCTGCAATACACATTGATTTAAAATTCAATTACGAATTTCTCGTAGTACCACGTTGAACATTTGGATAGAAAAACAACTATAGGACACTCACCATTTTCGTCTGTTTAATGGAGCAGACGAGCTCGGCCACGATCTGGAAGGGTTGTTATCGCTAGGGTTTTATTGATCTGTTTGAGTTATAAGGACTAAATCAGGGCCCTGTAAGCACGCATTATTCATAGTTTGGGCCTAGAGCCCGTTTGGTGAGCATGTTTTCCGGCTTATCATCTTATCGGCCAACTTTTTCACGCAACACGTAACTTTTGATTTCCAGATCAAAAGGTTGATGTTACTTTTCTGACTGTATTGGCTGAAGTTACTGTAGAGAATCATTTTATATATTTTTATATAAATTCTTTCTTTATTTTATTAATAAAATATATTTTATATATATAATTTTTTCTTAAATCAGCAGAATGAGTCAATACAGTCACTTCAGCCAGAACTTCATAAATATCAGCAGAAACAGCCGATACAGCCGATTTCAGTGTTAACAAACGGGCTCCAAATTTACAAAGGGAGCTTGTTATCACAAACCATGAA